TAATGATTGATTCAATTTATGAAATTCTATGATAGATATGATAGATGTTTGCACAGGACTATTTCCTCAAATTAATATGTGTTTGATTAATATCAAATTAATATCCATGGATTAAATATATATATATATATATATATATATATATATATATATATATATATTTAGATAAACTAGACCATGTTGGTTGTTTTACGCCAATAATAAGAATAAAATAACTAAATAATGAAGAAATGAAAATACTAAATTTAATCCTAATCCAACGGCCAGCATTAAAATGACATCAAACTAAAAAAAAATTGTAAAAAATATAACATTAGTTATACTTTGACTAAACTGACAAAAATAGGAACTTTAAATTAAACTAGTGGTGTATGGCATCGTGCCTTAAGGCAAATTTCTGGAACTTTCTGTACCGTAATAAAATATATTCGAGATATTTTAAACGTTTTCGAATGTATCATTACAAATACTGTGACTTTCATTATTCTTACTATCTTGTTATATCTGAGCAAATCAAATGTCAATCATAAATCATAAATCAATTTATCTTCAGAACACTCCAGAACAATCGTCATTTCATTTCGAATTCAATAAAAAAAATTGCCTAATTTACACAAAATTGAAAAAGTGCTTCCGCATAGTCACAGTCTGAACGCATTTGCAAATAATTCTGTGCGACATTTTCACTTACACTGTTCTTAGCTTGGCAGCATTTTCACATTTTTCAATAGTTTTCACAAAATTGGAAAAGTGCTACTACATAAGCAGTCTAAACGCACTTGGGTAAACAATTGTACCAGAGTGGCGCTTAGACTGTACTTAGCCTGGGTCGTTTTTGAATTTTTAATCCAAAATTACAAAAATATTTTTTGAAAAAAAAATTAAAAACAATTTTTTTTCAAAAGCAATTGTTTTGTCAGTACAAGCAGAAAGTTCCTTGAATCATTCAAATCGGACGCTTAGTTCTTTCAAAAACTGCCATTTTTTTACATTTAGCCCTGTATCTCCGAAACCGCTGAGCCTACCTTTGGCAAAAACTAATAACCACTTTTCCCCGTCATTACGAACTGAATGTTTTTTGGATTATAAAATCGGATGATCCGTTCTCTCAAAAACTCGATTTTTATTTTCTGCACTCTTTGCTCCATATCTCCGTAACGGCTGGACCCGCCTTTGCCAAAAGCTAATCAGCACATCTCCCTATTAATAGAAATTGAATGTTTTTTAAACCATTCAAATCGGTTGGTCCGTGCGCCCGAAAACGTGGACGAAAAAATGCGAACATACAAAACACACACACACATCCATTAGTTTTCTGAGGTATGCCAGTAAAATGTTCAGAAACCTTCAAAACGTCGAGAAATGCAAAAATTTTCATATTAGATTTTCGGCCCATTACTATACGGAATTTCTTTCCTACGGAAAGTTAATTAAATCCAACGGTCAGCATTAAAATGACATCAAACTAAAGAAAATTTTGTAAAAAATATAACATTTTTTACACTTACCTAAACTGACAAAAATAGGAACATTAAAATAAAATATTAAGCAATTTGGATAACTAGTTCAAAACTGGTTAAATAGTGAGCAATATATAAATAATAAGTAAAAAATTCAAATATTATATTTAAATATGTTAGTAATACATTTAGTATAACAAAGTTCTCATATATACAATACTTATAATAAATCAGGAACTTAGGGTTGATTTTTACTAAATTAGTTATAT